CCCCTAGTCGTCAACACCCGCCACTTGCAGCCGGGGGCACAAGGCAGGCTTGCGAGGTAACCGAAAAAGCCAGCGAAGTTTATTTTGGAATGTATTTTGCCGTCAACAAACAACACAGAGCGCAAAGCAACCCAGGTGGGACAGGCGGAGGGGAAGCAGAAGTCCTGTGCGAGGAATTTTTTAAGGGAAAAGTGTTGCCAGCAGCAAGCTCAGCCCCGGGAAGGGCTGCCGAAGAGGTGTCAACTGAAGTCGGTAACTGATATCAATAATTTGTACTACTTCTACGAGCGCACACTCCTCTAAGTCATAATTATTGTCAAATATGTCACAAGACAACCCTTTGTTCTGCAGAGAAACATACATTTTGTGCAAGACAAGGGCTCCAACCATTCCTATTAAAGGCAGCCAGGTTGTAAAATCTCGAAGACTTTTATTTCTCAATATTTAAATAAGCCTGACAAAATATGCTCTGCATCTGCCGACCAGCAAAAAAAGGCAAAATGATTTGTCACCCACTGTACATCTATTTAAGCCACGGAGCACATCAACCAAAAAGGACGAAACAACCTAGATCCACCATCTAGTTACACTGCACCAGTTTTTAAAAAATATTTTAAAAGACCAGAAACTATGAAAATGTGCCAGTATTATTTTTTTTGCATCCTGTAAGGCCAATACAAATATATTCAAGTGAAAGGCAACCTGGAAGTGGACAGCACACAACCTTTTTTTTTCCCCCTGTCCTATTTACAGTTAACACGCAATGTCTTTTAAAAGCACATTCAGCTTTTCTGTGCACAACCATGCAGGTCTTATGAAAAAGTCAGCCATCTCAAAAATAATAATAATTTCCTCTCTAGTTCTTCAGTCACAGTTTATATTCCCTTTGTATGAGAGTTGATTACATTGCTGTGGGGGGTTTTCTGTAGGAAAAAGTGCATTAATTGCACAAAATCTGAATGCATTTTAAGAGAAGCTCCTCGAAGCAATTTGCAAAACTTTGACATGCAGAAAATCATAGATTTTATTATTATTATTTTTAATGACTACATGCAAATACAAAGTGATAAAGGAAATGATTACTCTTCCTAAAGAACCTGTTGACCAGGTACTGAAGAGCCTCCTTGGGGAAACCTGGCTCTCTACCTGGAATTGTATGATTTTACTGTGCCTTTCCCTCCCAATCTTTGCTGCTGCTCTACAGAAATGTTCTTGCTTTGCCGCCTTCTGCAAAACTGCTATCAGCGAGCTTTTCACATGCTCTCGCCTTTCACATTTCCTTCAAATGCAAAACGCAGGGCTAGTTTGAAAACAGATTTCTCAAGTTAAAAAAAGAAGATCTTAAGCTGGAAAATCAGCAAGTTGAATCAAACCAAAATAACGTTTCTTTGCACAGAGCAGCTCAATAGCTCAGCCTCCTCTTCTCTACATAATCGCCTCTTTTGCTTTGTCCACCCGTTTAAGTGAGCTCAGCTACCAAGTTTGCTGTGTCCACCACGGCTGAAGAAAGGTCCAGAGCTGCACTCTGTTCTCTCCATGTGTTTCCCCTCTTTTTGTCCTGCACATGCATCCATTACAAGGCTGCCTGGGCAAGCTTGGCAAGGACAAACAGGCCACTCCGTTTTGCAGTCTTAAAAACCACTGTGCTAATGAGACACCGCAACTCTGGAGCACAACTCCATTGCAGCCTCTCTGCTTTTTGTGTTTGTTTGTTTGTCTTACACTCAGGATCTAAACGTTTCTCTGAACACCAAGAGCATGAAACCCAATAAACTCCAGCTGAGCAGTGTCAGAAAACCCTTTCTCTCTCTCTCTCCCCCCCTCCCTCCCCATCTCTCCCAATCTCTCTTTCCTTGCCTGGCACAGACCTCCAATCCATCCTGAAATGCAGCTCTCCTGACAGATGCCAAAAAGGGAGAGAGAGAGAAAGGGGGAAAAAGCCCAAGCTAAACACGCCATAAACGCAAGATTTCAGAAAACAGTATCAATTCACCCCGGCTTCGGGGGCTTGGCTTGGGATTGGCTTTATTTTGTTGTAAGTGTTTTGGTTTCCCGTTCCGCTGCCCGCTACTTTCCAAACTCCCCCTCGCCGAGGACAGTCTCCCTGGCTGCTGTTCCCCCCCGAATACCAACATCTCAGTGCAGTTAGTGAACTGCAACTTGGTGCTGATTTGGATGGATTTTTGTTTGTGCTAGATTGGAGAAAATTCTTGGGTTTGCCTGTAGCTTATATACAGAGTCTGCACTGCAGCAGGAGAGCTTGTAACCTTGACCCAAGGTCTCTGTCGATGTGAGTGAAGGTTTCTTTGGCATTGGATAGAGAAAGCAGATGCCTATGAGCTGTGTGTGTTATTAAAGGGAGGGAAGTGATCTTAATTCTCCACTAACTTCTGACATTTTCTACATCGGGCTTCTCCATTTAATTCTCTTAATTTAACTTGCGTCTGAATTCCAGCTGATGGGACAACAATCCCAAGTTATCCACTACTGGGAAGAAATATGAACTGGATTTAAGTTAAGAAGTGCTCAGATAATGACAAAGACACACGGCTTCCCTAAGCACGGTGTCAAAATTGGTTTGCAACTGGCAGTTTTGTATTTTGTTTGTAAGCACTGTGGCAAAGAGTAAACTTTTTACTTAAGAATTTAAACTAGATTACTTAATAAGACTTCTTGCTTGCTTTCTTTATAAACATTTTTCTGCTCTTTTTTTAGACATGGACCGTGATTATGGGCATGGAGGCTATGGTGGCCCACGATCCATGGACTCTTACCTTAACCAATCCTATGGGATGGAGAGTCATGGAGGGCGGGGGGGGGGGGGGGGGGGGGGGGGGGAACGGGGTAAAAAATAAAGGCGCACACCAAAAAAAAAATTTTTAAAAAGGGAAAGACGGGGCGAAAGAAATTGAAATTTCGGGACCAAACCGTCCCCCCACAACCCTTCACTACGAAAAGAAAAAAAAATCTCACAGGAGGTGGAAAAATAATATACACATACATATCTTGATTCCCAAGGAAATCTTACAAACAGAAATTTATCACCGGTAACAAAGAAAGAGAGGAGCTCGCAAGCACCAAATGCTCCTGGCAGATGGCTCCTATTCTTGGCTTTCAGGGGAGGGGAGAGAAGCTGGGGGAATATTTTATTTATTTATTTAAATTCTTTAAAATCTCAACATAAATATTCGGATCC